AATTCGTTATGGGAACAAAACTTCACGTCATATGTGCTTTAGTTAACTATTACTACTCAAGAGTTTTTGTGCATCACTTCAGACAGCACTTTCTGTTAATTTCATTTTCATCAAAATCATTTAATATGGTTTTATAAGAGCTGCAATCGGGAAATGCAATAAAACAATTGCAAATATATTACTTTTTATTCTCCCTCCCCTCAATCTCTCTCTCTCTCTCTCTCTCTCTCTATGTGTTTAACTACTGAACACACCCACTTAAAGTGTCAGTGGAGACATCTGCACACGGCTGTTATTGATTCAGTGCTGTCAGACCACAGAACTACACTGTCTTTCTCTCACCACATCTGCACCAGACCTCTCTCAGTCATGGGGCTTCACCACAAAGAGTTTGAGCAGGCTGGCAAGCGCCCAGGTCTACAGATATGGAGAATTGAAAAGATGGAACTGGCCCCTGTGCCTGAAAACTTACATGGGAGCTTCTATATAGGTGATGCCTACCTGGTGCTCCACACTGTCAAACAAAAGGACTCGTGCTTCTACGATCTGCACTACTGGCTGGGTAAGCAATGGATTTTCTGTCATTTATAAAAGAGCTTAGGTCTTTTGAATCAACTTTATATGTTTAAATACACTTTTTACATATGTACTATGTAGAATATTTTCTGTTACTTAATATTGCATGTGACTTTGCAGTTAAACAGTAAAATGACTAATCTCAGTAGCTTGACTAGTACCTTAATGTTCAATAGGGTATCAGTACGGTCAAATTGTATTCACAAACTATTCCAGAACTGCATGGATGATGATTTCAATGTTATTTGAAAAAAAAAAAACTAAAAAACTAAAATCGCAGTCACTATTTAAAAGGTTGAGGAAAGACTAGGGCAAATTAGCTGACATGATACTCAAATGTGCTCATTGTAAACACACCAGCAGATAGACTGAGCATATGGCCCCTATAAAATTACGCTTTAGAATTACGAAGGTTGTAAAGTTTATTCTCAGAAGCGGGTACTGGGTCACCTGATATTAATACTGGACTTTCATCTATACAAATTCTGTATGATGAGCATGTTTTTAATTTCTGAATTAAAATTAATTTTGATATTTTGAAGAGCCTTAATAAATGAAAATAGTATTTTAATGTTAATTTCTAACAAGCAAGCAAACAAAAAAGCTTTACTGAATAATAAGTCATGCTCAAGAGTTTTTGTGCATCACTTCAGACAGCACTTTCTGTTAATTTCATTTTCATCAAAATCATTTAATATGGTTTTATAAGAGCTGCAATCGGGAAATGCAATAAAACAATTGCAAATATATTACTTTTTATTCTCCCTCCCCTCAAATAACTAGTTATGGTTAATTATTCATATTTCCTGTTGTAATCTGATTCGTTACAACACTCATCTACCAAAAGGATAAATTAATGTATTTTTAACCATTTTAGATTAAATTCGTTATGGGAACAAAACTTCACGTCATATGTGCTTTAGTTAACTATTACTACTCAAGAGTTTTTGTGCATCACTTCAGACAGCACTTTCTGTTAATTTCATTTTCATCAAAATCATTTAATATGGTTTTATAAGAGCTGCAATCGGGAAATGCAATAAAACAATTGCAAATATATTACTTTTTATTCTCCCTCCCCTCAATCTCTCTCTCTCTCTCTCTCTCTCTCTATGTGTTTAACTACTGAACACACCCACTTAAAGTGTCAGTGGAGACATCTGCACACGGCTGTTATTGATTCAGTGCTGTCAGACCACAGAACTACACTGTCTTTCTCTCACCACATCTGCACCAGACCTCTCTCAGTCATGGGGCTTCACCACAAAGAGTTTGAGCAGGCTGGCAAGCGCCCAGGTCTACAGATATGGAGAATTGAAAAGATGGAACTGGCCCCTGTGCCTGAAAACTTACATGGGAGCTTCTATATAGGTGATGCCTACCTGGTGCTCCACACTGTCAAACAAAAGGACTCGTGCTTCTACGATCTGCACTACTGGCTGGGGAAGCAATGGATTTTCTGTCATTTATAAAAGAGCTTAGGTCTTTTGAATCAACTTTATATGTTTAAATACTCTTTTTACATATGTACTATGTAGAATATTTTCTGTTACTTAATATTGCATGTGACTTTGCAGTTAAACAGTAAAATGACTAATCTCAGTAGCTTGACTAGTACCTTAATGTTCAATAGGGTATCAGTACGGTCAAATTGTATTCACAAACTATTCCAGAACTGCATGGATGATGATTTCAATGTTATTTGAAAAAAAACCAACTAAAAAACTAAAATCGCAGTCACTATTTAAAAGGTTGAGGAAAGACTAGGGCAAATTAGCTGACATGATACTCAAATGTGCTCATTGTAAACACACCAGCAGATAGACTGAGCATATGGCCCCTATAAAATTATGCTTTAGAATTAAGAAGGTTGTAAAGTTTATTCTCAGAAGCGGGTACTGGGTCACCTGATATTAATACTGGACTTTCATCTATACACCTTCTGTATGATGAGCATGTTTTTAATTTCTGAATTAAAATTCATTTTGATATTTTGAAGAGCCTTAATAAATGAAAATAGTATTTTAATGTTAATTTCTAACAAGCAAGCAAACAAAAAAGCTTTACTGAATAATAAGTCATGTGGTCCAGCAAACATACCAAAAAAAGATGCAGAAAATAAAACAGGGAAATGATGCAGACCCTCAATGTGACATAGGTCTAGATAAATACATCTCTTAAAATAACATAATTTGACCTTTACATAACATCAAAATGTCATGTGATTTTGTGAATAGTACATTACTAAAAATATAGCAGACTCTCATTTGCCATTGATCAGAGTCAAGCTTTTGTTTCAGAGGGCTTTGTTTTTTAAATGATTTTACTGGAGATGCCTCAGACATACATGCTCTGGTTGCTCTAAAAAGCTATGTCACAGCAATTTCAAAAAACAAACTTCTGTGGTCAAGTTGCAAAAGAACAGAAAACAGGAAGCTCATGAAGATGAGAATGACCATGGTTTATGCATTTTACTCTGGCAGAGTCTACAAGAAAAATATGACTTTAAAGTTCTGTTAATGTCACCAGCTTGCTCAAAGATCATCACAGAAATTTAGAAGCCATTTAGTTGCCAGAAACCATGTGCACTTAATACAGTTTCCTTCCTCTGCTGAGAGAAAGCACTTTCTTTACTCCATTAGACGTTTCAGAACTGTCAATATCATAGATGTTCTGGCCTTGAGTGTATTTGTGGTCATAACCACACACAAACACACACACACACACACACACACACACCAGCTTCCATTATCATTAACCACTTCCAATGCAAATGGATTCCTTAATGATGTTTCTGCCCATCATGTCTTTCTTGACGAGTCATTTACCCTAAAAAAGCCTACTACAAAATGGACGAATAGAACAGGCTTTTTACCTCTGACAACACATCTGTGGTCACAGGCAACAGCTAACATAGCAGGCTTTAAAGTGTAAAAATGTATGCTAGGTGAATAAACACTTTGTATATCAGTCATCATCAAGTGTGAAAACAAACAGCTCAATGTGGTTTGCAAAAGCAATGTTTATGCAGCTGATGAACTGCAAGTGTACAAGAAAAAAACAATCACTTAATTATTAACCTGATTGAAAAAGGATGAATAGGCCACAAAAGTAGCCTAAATGATCCTTCTTTCTCTCTTTCTAGGTAAGGAATGTACCCAGGATGAAAGTGCAGCGGCAGCCATCTTTACCATTCAGATGGATGACTACCTGGGAGGAAAACCGGTCCAGTACCGTGAACTCCAAGGTTTTGAGTCCACCAACTTCACCAGCTACTTCAAAGGCGGGATTACATATAAGGTTTGAGACAGTTTATAACCCTCTAGACCTACTCTGACAACAATTTTCTTGTAGTTTTTGTGCTCTAATGACTCAGAACAGCGTATTATTCTTCACTTTACTTCAGGCCTATCTTAGGTCAAACATAAAGCTGCTGTTTAAACTGATGGAAAGACTAACAGTTGCTGCTGTATTCATTTGCAAATTGAGAAAACGTCTCCTAGACTTCACAGTGCAAATCTAGGATTAGTTTTTTGTTTACAATTTGGGTGAGGTAAAAACCTGCTACTCCAATACCTTCCTACTGTACAGAGGACCTTATGTTTTTCACAAACATGCGTGGTCTGAGGGGATGTTGTGTCACAGACAGCATGTGTTTGGGGGCATTCAACTCCTCAGTGTTGCAATTGGCCTCAGGAAGAAAATGACTCACGGGTTTATAAATGGAAAAACAAGAAGAAAGAGCAGGAACGTTTTAAAAAAATATTTTCCAACCTTCTCAGGCCGGAGGTGTGGCATCAGGGTTTCATCACGTGGTCACCAATGATCTTACTGCCCGCCGACTCTTCCACATCAAGGGCAGGCGCACTGTCCGGGCCACAGAAGTGCCTCTCGCCTGGGCCAGTTTCAACAACGGCGACTGCTTCATAGTTGATCTGGGAGCGGTAAGATCTGCAACAAACATTCAAACGGCTGTGTTAGATCTTTTTAATAGGATATTTAACCTAAAAATGAACATCCTGTCACCATTCACCCTCATGTCGCTCCAAATGCATGATTAGACTTTTTTTTCCCTTCTGTGGAACATCCATGGAATTATTTAGTAAAATGTCCACACTGCACTTTTCCACATCGAAAATGGAAAGACTTGGAAGACTTCCACATACATAACTTATGTACTGCATTCTGAGTCCTCTGAAATCAATAGCTTTTGTAAAACTTAAGTAATTTCTTGCTAAAAATCTTAAAAATCACTGCAAAATACAGTGTTTAAACACCATCAGGGTGAGTAAATGATGACTGATTTTTGTGTAAACTGTTAATTAAGAAGGAAGGGAATCATCTTTGATTGCTAACTGACTTACCAAATTTATTTTTTGAGTAATAATCTATAAACTTTTTCACCCTTCAAACCTTATACTGTTAACACATAAAATATATATTTTTTAAAGTGCAAATATAATTAAACAAGTACAGTCTCAGTTAGGATAATCCAGATATAATCCCTAAAGAAATGTCAAGTATTACACTTCATTTTCCATAGACGATAACTGGCTGGTTCACTTGTGCAGAGTGTATTTAATATCCTCTCTGTATGCACTTTGGGTGGGTTTGATAATTGGATTGGATGTCAAATTACTGACTGTCAACATACTGTGTAGAGCAAATGTTGTGAGAGCACAAGGGCTGAACCACATCTCACGCCTAACAACAGAAGCATCTTTTAAGCTACTAAAAGGCTCTTGCTGACCATGCGTTACATAGGATAGTTTGCAGGAAGTTTAAATGTGACAATACCATTTGACTAAAGTATTTGACAGCACACTTAGTGCTGCACTCTCTCACTTCTCCAAAGGAACTTGCAGACCACAGTCAAATAAACAGAACAGACAAATCCTTACTGATACCATTCCACAATGACAGTGTAAAAACAACTATATGGTAACATTTTCAAAGGTAGAGGTGGCAAAAATGATTTCTTAAGAAATCGTGTCAGACATAATTACCAAGAACCAAACAGAGGTCAATGCTTTCCTAGGAAGTCTGCTATTGTATGCATAACAAACATGAGCACGTATTGCAAGGATCACAATTAATTAAACTGATTTCTGAAACTAGGTGATCTACCAATGGTGTGGGTCTAAGTGCAACAAGTTTGAGCGCCTCAAAGCTGCACAGGTAGCTACTGGTATCCGAGACAACGAGAGGAATGGACGAGCCCAGCTGGTGGTTGTAGAGGAAGGACATGAGCCTGCAGCGATGATGGAGGTATCAAATAAAAATGCTCATCAAATGTCTTTTAAGTATGGATGAATTTGCATGGAATACAATCTTAAGCATCTGGAAGTACTTATTAGAGCTTATTTTTTATCTTTCACCACTAAGAATTTTACAGTTAAACCAATGTTTGCTATAGGCAGTACGATATCAGGTTTAGCTGGAAGGTTTGACATTTGTATACCTTGTCTTTGCACATCACAGGTTCTCGGTAAGAAGCCTGAAATCCCTGAAGGTGATGATAATGAGGATGTGGTTGCAGACATGTCAAACAGGAAAATGGCCAAACTTTACATGGTAACCAAGTCTATAAACTTCAGTTTGATTCATCTATATGCAAACCTAACAGACACATGCACACAGACACACGCACAATGGAAAGGTAACAGGATATTATTTAATTACAACTGCACTTTACAGGTATCAGATGCAACAGGGGAAATGCAAGTGTCGCTTGTGTCAGATGAAAATCCGTTTAACCAGAGTGACCTGTTGTCTGAGGAATGCTTCATTCTGGACCATGGAAAAAGCAAAATGATCTTTGTGTGGAAAGGTATTGGTAACCTGAATGCACTAAATGAAGTAATTGTGTAACCATCTTACTGAGATTCCTTGACTTTATTTTTTGATGATCTAGGTCGCAACGCAAATCCAGATGAAAGGAAGGAGGCCATGAAAACAGCTGAGGGCTTCATTAAGCAGATGGGATATCCTGCCAACACCCAGGTTCAGAAACATTAGATATGTGTATATGTTTTGCTGCATTATTTACATTCACTTGAATGAGTGATCATACCAACCATAGTTGGATGTAGTAAAAAAAATAAAAAATTATATATATATATATATATATATATATATATATAAATATACACACACACACACACAGCTTGTCTCTGGAGCAGTACCCTTAAAGGGACAACTTCGTACCCTATTTTCCCCTAAATCGGGGGTGTCCAAATCTGATCCTGGAGGGCCACTGTCTTGAAGAGTTTAGCTCCAACCCTAATTAAAAACACCTAAACCAGCTAATCAAGGTCTTCAGACTCACTAGAAACTTCTGGGCAAGTGTTTGGAGCTGGTTGGAGCCAAAATCTGCAGGACGTCAACCCTCCAGGAACAGGACTGGAAGGTTCATAGTAGTACAAGGGTACATCAGGGGTAGATGATTGCTCCAAGATGTTGTATGCCTAAAAGATACCCTTTTTGCATTTTTTTCAGACAGGGAAAATGAATAGTATTCTTTGGCAGTGGGTCCAAAAAAGCGGGGACGTGTGTCTAGGTCCAGGAAGGAGACGGTGGAGAGACGCCCATCTTTAAGCAGTTTTTCAAAACCTGGAAAGAGAAGGACCAGGCTGAGGGTCTAGGCAGAGTGTATGTCACTGAGCGGATCGCCAAGATTAAGCAAGAAGTGTTTGATGCCTCCAAGCTGCACGAGTCTAATCAAATGGCTGCTCAGTACAACATGGTTGACAATGGCACTGGAAAAACACAGGTAACAATTTGCATACAAAAGATCAGAGATTGTATGTTCAATTGTGTTGGCGTTTGGCATAGCAGAAGATGAACATCTTACTGTCAAAATGACACTCAGAATGAAACTAGAAGATAAGCTGCTGAATGATTTTTGCACTCAAAAATAGTGGTCACATTTACCGCTGTTCAGTGAAATGCAGTAATTTTAAGATGTCACCATGCAGATTTCACAACGGGTTCAAGTTGGTCACGTGGATTCACTGTATTGACCAACAGAGTGACTTCTGTTTGAGAGCACCTTAAGAGGACGTCATTTCACAGCAATTACAGATTGTTATATTATCACAGGATGAAATCCACCTGTCCCAACATGTAAATATAGTTGATGGATATTCTTAATCTGGTTTTATTTCACAGATTTGGAGGGTGGAGTGTGGTAATACCACAGGTGATACCAAGGTTCCTGTTGACCCAGAGGCATACGGCCAGTTCTATGGAGGGGACTGCTATATCATTTTATATGCCTACACCAAAGGAGAAATCATTTACACCTGGTACGCCTCATAGAAGTAGATAGTTTCCAGAGGGGGAGTCAAATCATACATAAAAAGAATCAAATAAGGCTTATCGCTCTATGCTTCCACCCTCAGGCAAGGTTCCAGCAGCACAATAGATGAACTGACAGCTTCAGCCTTTCTCACTGTTGAGCTGGACCGTTCGCTGGGAGGAAAAGCTGTTCAGGTGAGCGGGATTTGAATTTTATCTATATACTAATTTACTGACTGTAACTGGGGGTGGATTATGAACTAGATAAATAGGGCTTCAAAGATGTCCAGCAGCCCTGACTGAAAATCTAGAAGAAAACACAACTAGGCTAGAGTTGTTGTCTTATTATGGTTCCCCATTCCATGTCCATTCAGGTGCGAGTGACTCAAGGAAAGGAACCACCTCATTTGCTGAGCCTCTTCAAAGAAAAGCCTCTGATCGTGTACAAGAATGGGACTTCTAAAAAGGGAGGACAGGCACCCGCACCTCCAACACGTCTCTTTCAAGTGCGCAAGAACCTGGGCACCATTACACGGATTTGTGAGGCGAGTCCTGGTCTACAAACTCAATGCCCAGAAACACATGAAATTATTAGGAAAAGGAGGATCCAGATAAACCACGTTTTCATTTCTAACTTGGTCATTTATAGTCAGTAGTTGGTACAAGTTGGTTGATGAGCCATGCGGTTGACAATCTAGGTCATTCTGGTTAGCACTGGCAGATCATCTAGTCCAAGGTGGTGGAGATCTGCTTGATGTTCCAAAACAGTGTTCATCTTTGGTTAAGCTGACCTATTTTTAAGTGTAACTTCAATTTAGATATGCCCCTTGAACGTGTTGGTTTGTGGTCTAACAGGTAGATGCTAAAGCATCAAGTTTGAACAGCAATGATGCCTACCTTCTGAAGTTACCTGAGGGGGATGGGTACTTGTGGAAGGGGAAGGGGGCCAGTGAGGAAGAGGAACGAGGGGCAAAGTACATGAGTGAGAAACTGAAGTGCAAAACCAAACCAATTACTGAAGGAAACGAGCCAGGTATGGCCAATGCACAATAGATTCAATTCATTCTCTTCATGCTTTATACTCACACATTGGTAGGAGTTACAGGAGTTACTGACGACATTTACATCTTTTAACTTTTACATACTTGTTGCCCATTGAAAGAGGACTTCTGGAAAGCTCTGGGTGGAAAGACAAAGTATCAGACATCTGAGATGTTGGAGAGCAAATCTATAGCACATCCTCTCCGCCTGTTCGCCTGCTCCAACAAAAGTGGAAAGTTCATCGTGAGTATCCTAGCCCGGATATAAGAGAAAGCCAAAGTCCAGTTCGGTTTCACATTAAGCTTTTGCTTTCGAGACAAATTCTGCATTGTTTGGCTACATATAGGCAAACTGTTGTTTGGACACTAAACATGCATTTTACAACTATAGATTGAAGAAGTACCTGGTGAGTTTAACCAAGATGACCTGGCAGAGGATGATGTCATGTTGATGGATGTCTGGGATCAGGTAAGACAGTTATGTTTCTTTTTGACTATCTCTAAGATTCAAAGAACAGCAGTTGTCTCTGATTAGAGCTCTGACAATCTTTATTTTAGCATTCAAATATATCTCCTGACTTTCATGGATTAGCATGTGCCACTGATCCTTGATTTCATCTCTCAGGTGTTTGTGTGGATTGGAAAGGATGCCAATGAGGTGGAGAGGACTGAGTCTGTAAAATCCGGTGAGATTCAGGCACACATTCCTTAAAACGTCTTTCTTCATAATCTGAATACAAAACAGAAACCCCTTTAAAACTGGTTCAACAGCAAACTTGAACAAACCACATTATTCTCACATGCAAAATATACATTTTAAAATAAGTATTTTGATTATGTCCTCTCTTTGTAAACTAATAAATATAGTCATACAGCTTTTTGAGTATTTGTACCTTTGCAGCAAAGACCTACATTGAGACGGACCCATCAGGACGAGACAAGGGGACACCTGTTGTGGTGGTAAAACAGGGACACGAGCCCCCCACCTTCACCGGCTGGTTCCTGGGG